ACATGTGAGGGAGGTTCTTTCCGTCAGTGCTTCCTGTATACTGAGTAACAGATCTAATATTTTCCCTCCAGAAATAATCAGACAAAAGGAATATGGGAATGGAAATGAAATGGAGTCATTAATAATGTAAATGTGATGTTACAGCTGTTATTGCTGAGCTCGCAGGAGTGTCCAGTAATTCTAATTCTCATTCTCTCTCTCTCTCTCTCTCTCTCTCTCTCTCTCTCTCTCTCTCTCTCTCTCTCCCCACCCCCCACCTTACATCATTCCCTTCTCTGGGATGGCAGGCAGAACACATTTTGTTTTCCTGTCCCTTTCTAGAACACCAAGGACAGGGCCACCTAATTGACTCTGGTCCACACCTGCTATAACTTAAATTTATTCAAGCATTAGCGATTTTTTTTTTTTCCTGTAGAAGAAGAAGAAGACAAGTGGTGATGAAAGATACTGCTCACAGGCCTCACCATTGGATTATAAGCATGCTGGGTGCTTAATGAGTTGCTGAATAATATAACACTTCTTTAGTTCTTTGGCTGCCTCATGATTAAATGCTATAAATATTTATGATTTATTACTGATGCTTTGGATAGGCTAGGCTTTGGAAGGCTCATGGATCACAGTAATTCTAATAGAAAATAAGAAAATAAAACTATATAAAGCTGCTTATTTATAATGTTGCTCAAACGGGTTATGTAATTTGTCAGAAGCTGATGGAGGTAAAACAATCCAGCAGCAATGTCATTTAAGCACTTTTATCATTGATTATACATTTCTCATGAGAATATATTTATAGTAAATAGGAGTTCAAGCTATCACTTTCTGCTAACGACTCCCTCACTTTTGAAGATTCCTATTGGGCTGCAAAATCAAAGAGCTTGATGTTCTATGTGCTGCAACCAGAGGTCCTGCTGTACATGCCACCCCGGGACCAACACAGGGCTCTTTCCTCCAGTCACAAAGCTTGTCCCCAGGAGCCAGGGCTGAAAGTATCCCCAGTGCCAGCTGCAGCTGCATCGAATGACCCACTTGTAAAACCTCCCTCCCTATTACTTTGGTTCTACTGGGTGAGACCTTAAGCGAGCACAAGTGGAACACTTGCACGAGGGGCAGGGCAGCACTTGAGGCAGCTGAAGTGTGGGTTGCTAATTCAGAGAACTGGATTTGATTCCGAGCTTCATCAAGCTGTGTGGCCTTTAGCAAGTGACTTTCTGTGAGTTCACTTCTGTCACGGAGTTACTTGAGGATTATGTGCATTTAACACACACGAAGCACTTGCCAACAGACCAAGGGCTTAACGGTTAGCTTTTTAGCTCCAGGAAGTCATAAGCCAGTGTCTTGATTCACACTATGTCTTAGCACAGAAGGGACGTCTCCGAATTGTGTACCACACTATTGCTTATTGCTCAGACACAAGGAAAACAGAGTACACAGAAAAACAGAAGCATTCTTTTTCCCCTGAAACTGATTTTGTATCCTCACATAGAGATGGAGAACAAAATCTTGGAGTTTGGCCCTTTTATGCCTCTCATTGCCTTTTTTACACACATCCTTGAGGTCATTGTGATTGTCATCATTGTCCTGATTAGGAAGTCAAGATCTTGAGAGATGAAATGCTCTCCCAAGAGCACAAAATTCCGAAGTAGCCAAGATCTGAACTCAAGGCTTCCAACCAATCAATATATACAAGAAGCAGTAATAGGAATATATCTTTTGCTTTGTTTTCTTGTTATAAGAAGCAGAAATGCAAGTTTGAGGCAAGGGGAGAGGAGAAACAGAAGTACCTTCCTGTAACTCTCTGTGAGGAAAAAGGACAAGTTCTCCTTGAAAAGTTTACCTCAACTCTCCTGTCACGCAGTTATCTCAGGCTATGATTGCAAAACAGCTCGCCTTTTTCCTAGGCTTCCAAACTGGACCATAAAATATAAAATTCCACTGATTTTTTGGGGCCCACGAAGGCAGGACACTCAAAGTTATAGTTTCTTTTTAACTTGTAGGTATATCTTGATGAGACTCTAAGAAACCTACGTTTTATAGACTACAGGTCGTACTACGGCTCCCACCATCCAAGCACAATAAAAGCGTGCTAATGCTAATGGAGAAAGCGGAGGGCTGTTCCAGATTCGTGGCTGACACCTTAGAGTTCTCAGCCAGAAAGTGAAGTCTCTCCTGGATGCAGAGCTACCTTGTGTACCAAGACAGAGGCCATAAATTTACATCACTGAGGGTATTTCATCCATTTCCTTATTTGAAAAAAGATTCTTAATAACATCACTCCCATAGTTCCCTAGCTTTGCTTTAGAGAAAGAGAATTAGGCACTCCTGTCACATACCAGCAAGAGAACATTTATAATACTCGTGAGAGTAAAACCTTTCAGGACTGAATAGAAAGTCACTCCATCTCCCTGAATCACAAAGTCCTGATTGGAGGAAACTAAAAAAGCCAGCAAAGTCAACCTGGCTGGCTACTGCATACCAAGACGTCCCCCAAGGAGGGTTAGAATCATTCCAGTAGGTAATATCTATGTGATGGAGTTATAGTGAATAGCATTTAAATATTTTATATCTACCAGACCTACTGCTAGATACTGTATCTGACTTTTTTGTTTGTTCGTTTTTGGTTTTGGTGCTGAGGACCAAACCCAGGGCTTCCAGCTTGCTAGGCAAGCTTTCTACCACTGAGCCAAATCCCCAGCCCCTGTATCTGATTGATTCCTGCAAACAGTACCATGAGGTCGGAAATATCCACTCATGGATAGCTTACTGGCAGAGTGCTTACCTAACATGCTCAAGGTGCTGGGTTTGGTTCTTGGTAAGGAAAAAGAATATACATACAGGAAACTGAGGTTTAGAGAGGACCTGGAAACCTGTCCTCCAGGTTGTACAGACGCTAAATGGCACAGCAATAACTCAAACTTAGGGCTATTATTCCAGCTGATGTTCTTTTCAGTTTTCTATGACCTCTTCTTTTCTGGAATGTGGCCCCACTTCTATCATTATTAGGAGTACATTATTTAACTTTTGCTCCCTACATAATTATATTTATTGTCTGCAGGTCAAGAATGTAGGTGTAGCTTAGCTGGGGGCTGCTTCAGGTTCTCTCCCCAGGCTGTGGTGAAGGTGTGGCCCCCAGGCTGGAATCTCAGCTGAGGCTTAACTGGGGAACAACTGCCCCAGAGCTCCTTGAGGGTGTTGATGGAGGGCTTTAGCTCCTGCTGTCTGTCACCCAAGGCTACCCTCAATTCTTGGCTCTGTAGTTCTCTCCCTACAGGGCAGCTTATTTCATCAAAGCCAGTAAGGGAGGGATTCAACAGAAACAGTCTGCTAACGAGATGGAAGTTACCATTTTACATAACACAATCCTGATAGCGACAGGCCAGTACCTTTACTGTGTTCTGTTGCCTAGAAGCAAGTCGTGGGACCTGCCCACACTGAAGGGGGAGGGGATTCTATCAGGAAGTGAACCATGGAAGGTGAGGGGCGTCTTAGTCTATCTGTCACACAGAATTAATGCAAAATGTTCCATATTTTTCTTTATATTTCTACAACTCCATAATTTATCATAAAGCTCTTCAGTCAGGACGAGGAAAGGCTTATAATTATTTTTTAAATATTAAAAATCCCAACTTGGATATTTATCTCTTACAAGTTTTCAAAACTATGCTATCTTCTTTATCACTCTTTAAGCCTTGGTCCTTAATTCTTGTGAGTTGCATTATCATCTTGTTTCTGGAAATGAGCTCATTGCATATAGGACTCCAGGGAAGTGTGCATTTAATGGGGTTAGCAGGGCCATGAAATAAACATATGGCCCCAGCTCCAAATCCTGGGCATGCGTGCTGGTGGCCTTCCAGCCAAGACTCTTCTGGGTCAAACAGGGTTTACCTCTGAGGGAAATGCAATGAGAAGCCCTGCAGACACACCTGGCTTCTGGAAACAGAGAACAGAACACGCACAATGAAACAACAGTCAGAGAAATGCTCATTTTCTTTGCTTTTTAGTGCCTCCAACTCAGGGTACCAGTGGAATGGAGCCTGCCTGAATTATAGCAGCTTAAAAAAAAATCTTTTCCTCACTAGCACCACATACATATGTCTGTGTGTATATATATATGTAGGCATGACACCCAAAATTTAGCACCATGGATTCTCACTGCTGCTGTAAAACTGTGTTTCTTCTCAACCTTCCTGACGTACACTGCCTCAGAAAGAGGCTTTGGATGACTTCCAGAGCCCAGTTACGCTAGGGGGTGCAAATCCACCCATCTTCCATCTCCCTATAATTTCTTCAATAACTTCAGCAAAGAGTGACATTGGTTTACCAAGGAAAAGCTAACAGATTTTTTTCTATAAATAACTGGTTGGCAGTGCTGTGGTAACAATTTATATAATAGAACTCATGCTTAAATAATAAGGTAACAACTTTGGACTGTGAATTTTAAAATGGTTTATTGAAATCTAGACTGATGAACAGGCAAGATTCTTCTAATTATTTTAATTATAGGCTCTTAATGACAAGAAGCTGCAGAAATAAAAACATGTTAAAATTACATTTTTAATGAAGTGGCACTTGGAAGCCTGGACTTTTCCAAAGCAAGGAGGAGATGATCTGTCGTTACCTGGAAACCACCCGTGTGCACCCAGAGGTGAGGAAGATGTTTTCTGGGGAGTAGGAATTATTTATGACCCGACTCCTCTGTAATGCAGGGAGGATAAAAATGCCAAGTAGTGCTGTGAAGTGAGCACTCCACTCAGAGTCAACAAAGCCCTGGCTCTGTTAAATTGCCTGGCTATGTGTCGGCTCCTGCTTTCTTAGCTTCTGTTTTTTTCCATGTACAATGTGGAAGATGAAGTTAGTGGGCTCTAAGCTCCTCTTTTAACTTTATAATTCCATAATTCTATTATGAAGAATGACAAACCTTTAGGGAATATAGATTGAGCACATCTATTATTAAATATCAATTCACGCCAGGCGGCGCTGTCCCTGACCAAGCGGCGGGAGCGAGGGTTCAGAGATGGGCAGTGAGAAGGAGCAGAGTCAAGAACCACACCTGCCTGAGGAAAGGCAAGGGGGTAAGCCTTGGAGAGTGGATGGCTCACAGGGTTCTCGGATCCCAGCTGGGGAAAAGGAGGATGGGCAAGAACACCCATCGAAGGGGCCACAAGGAACATGTCCAAAAAAGCCATGGCAGAAAGTCATTACTTCAGCAGGAGGGCCAGGGGACCCCAGGGCACATCCAAAGCCTGAGGCAGACCAGAAGCCTTTTGCATGTCCCCAGTGTGGCAAAACCGTCAATAATACCTCCACCCTGAAAACACACCAGCGAATCCACACTGGTGAGAAGCCCTGTAAGTGTTCCGAATGTGGCAAGAGCTTTTCAAGAAGCTCCAATCGTATTCGGCATGAGCGGATCCACCTGGAAGAGAAGCACTATAAATGTCCCAAGTGTCAGGAAAGCTTCCGGCGGCGCTCAGACCTCACTACACATCAGCAAGATCACCTGGGCAAGCGGCCATACCACTGTGACATCTGTGGAAAGAGCTTCAGTCAGAGTGTCACCTTGGCCGTCCATCACCGAACCCACCTGGAGCCAGCACCCTACATCTGCTGTGAGTGCGGGAAGAGCTTCAGCAACAGCTCCAACTTTGGAGCGCACCACCGCACGCACACGGGGGAGAGGCCATACGAGTGTGCGGAGTGTGGGCGGACCTTCAGCGACATCTCCAACTTTGGAGCGCACCAAAGGACCCACAGAGGGGAGAAACCCTATCGTTGCACCCTGTGTGGGAAGCACTTCTCCCGAAGCTCAAATCTCATCCGCCACCAGAAAACACACACTGGTGAGCAGTCCGAAAAGAGTAGTTAAAGGAGAGCCCCATTTACAGGGCGGGGGACAGAATGAAAGATTTTAGTAGAGAAAGAAGGTCTTTAGGATCTGCTGCTGCCCTGCTTGACCTTGGCCCTTCATTCCACTTTGGAGAATGACTTCTTGTTGTTTCTGAAATCAGGATGTCCAGGAAGTCCTGAGAAAGGACTCTAAGTAAAAAACCTTGTCTTCTCCCAGGAAGTTATTTGCCTTGGAAAATCAGAGGATCCAGTCATGGCTTCATCTCCTTGGGAGTGACAGAGAGGTGGGATAAGCTCAGAATGTGTTCTGAGCTTATATCACAAAGGCTGCATCCTCTGGTCTTTAAGGAAACACCTGTATGATGGTGTCACTGTTTGCAGGCCTCCAGATAGTCTGTGAACTGCTTAAGGCATACTGCAGAGGCCTGCTAGATCATGCCTGCTGTGCCCCCACCCAAGTGTGCTTCTCCATGTCTAGGCTGAGGAGTGGCCCTCCTAATGGGAACGGCCCCCTTAGTCCAAGAAGAGACTTGAGGTCCCGCCTTAGGAATGAAAGGAGAGCTCTCAGGGATCCACGATCCAGCGACCTCCCGCTCTCCCACGTTGGTTCCCTGTTATCCCTATTGAAACGTACATCTGTTTCCCTAGAGTGATCAGCAGTAAAACCTTTCAGTGAAAAGGAATAAAAAAATAAAATAAAAAATAAATAAATAAATATCAATTCACATGCACACACAATCATGGCAGTTCTTAGGATATAGGGTTTTCCATAGGATTTGGCAAAATTAAATCGGACAGGCTGCCCGTGTGCCTGACACTGTACTAAATACCAGGCAGACAGGGTGAATAAAGTTGGGAGGCAGAAAAAAAGATAATATGCACCTGTTCACCTGTTCAGTCATTTGTGTTCTAACCAAATACTTATTTGCTTATTACAGGGAGGGCTTTGCTGATCCAGTAAGACATGTAGAGAGGTCTGAAGAGAGGGACAGAGTGAGTCCTACAGATTACCTTGAGGAAAGGCACTTCGACAACGACGGGCTCTGAGGTCGGAGGGGCTTGTTTTGGTCAAGAATTAGCAAGGGAGCCAGGAGAGCTAAAGCAGAGTGAACAGGGAGGAAAGTGTAGGAGACAAGGTCATGAAGAGAGCAAGATCTACAACATAAATAAAAGAAAGAAATTTTTTTTTCCATTTTCAGTACAGTTGCGCATTTTTCTGTCAAGTCCAGAAAATCCTCGATGACCAGCTCTCCATGTCTTCTCTGTCACTCTCTTCGTCCCATTTTGTGGAAATTCCTATTAAGTCTCCAGTGGATCTATTAAACCCATCAGCTGTTCAGTCTGTTTTCTATGTTTCCTAGCTGACTTATCACAGTTTTAACCTCTATCATGCTATGCTATGTTCTGAGTGAGTTTCTCAGTAGTACTTTCTAATTCTTTGTCCGTTCAAATATGGCCAGTCTAGAGTTCATCCTATTTGTTAGGATATTTTTTTTCAATGATTACATTTTTTCCTGTCCAGAATTTCCAATTGTTTTTTATATCCACCTGTTCTTATTTAATATGATTATCCCCCAGAATTTGTCTATTTTTCCCTTCCTTCCTTCCTTCCTTCCTTCCTTCCTTCCTTCCTTCCTTCCTTCCTGTACTGAGGACTGAATCTAGGACCTTCACACTAAGTAACATCCCAAGCCCTTTTTAATTTTGAGACAGGCTCTCACTTGGTTGATAAGTTGCCCTGCCTGGGTTCAGGCTTGTGAGCTTCTGGCCTCATTCTCCCAGAGTTCTAAGATAGGCATGTGCTTTTCTTGTTCTTTTCCATGACAGCTAATCTTTTCCTTCATCTTTTTTAGTATCACCGACCTACCTATTTTAAGGACATTTTTATATCAACTTATTGTTTTCATTTCCTCTGGAATAAAATATCTCCTAGTAGTTAGTATTTTGCCTTAGTTTCCTCCATGGGTTTTGGAGCTGGGGCTTGAAGGCTCATTGTGATAGGAGGCTTCATTGTTTCCTCCCTTTGCCACCTCCCACCCTCTCTGGGAATTTTGTGGTTAATTCATCGTGACCTCTGAGGGCCAGATATGTAGATCTCAGTCTCCCAGCATCTCCTGTCCCATGACGTTATAATGATGGCAGATCACTTGACCTTGCTTCAGGGTAAGGTCTATTACTTTCCCCCTTTTGAGATGCCCAGCTGCACATTCTCCACCCTTCAGATAGGGATGCACTGCAACCGTTTTTACAGCCTCCTCTTCTAGGTGGGTAAATCCATAAAAGTACTGTCCACTTTTCTCTACCCTGCCCTGCGTGTAGGATACATTGGTTCCTGCCAAGAGACCAGCTGTTACCAGTTCACAGCCGTGCCTGCATGGACACCTTGCTCCTCCTGACTTCAACCTTGTTCATGATACTGTGCTGGGTTTTGCTCTGCTTCTGACCCATAGAAGATTTAATTTATTTGTGAGCATGGCTGTGTGTTTGGGTTTTTTTTTTTTCAACAGTACTTTTATCTATCATCCTTATGTGGTCGGAGCCCAGGGACAGGATGTAGACATAAAAGTGTGACCTTATAGGTCATCTTTAGAAGTCTCTCCATGAGGAATCTAAGACACAAGGATAGGCTTAAGGAACTGATGGGTGCTAAGTAGGCTGAGAGAAAGTATAATCCCAGAGTCAGTCAGAATTACACGGGAGATGCACAGGGAAATGAGGGGCATCGGATCTTGCAAGAGAGAAAAAGACAACAGCTGCGGCCTAGAGGATGTCAAAGCCAGGTCTGCCCCTCATTGTAGGCTGTGTCACAGGCCATGCTTCCTGTCTTGTCTAGTCTCATTCCTTTGTCACTGCTCACAAACCTGCTGTTTACCCCCTTGTCTTTTCTACCTTGTCCAGGTCTTGGCATAAAAGGGTCAGCAACAAACATGTGGAATAAGTGATTGAATATTGAACAAGTTTGAGTATTAAAAATAAAAACCACTGATCATTCCAGTGGTTTCCAGCTTTATTCCATCAGCTCTCTTAGAGTTCTGAGCTTATCTTCAGCTGATCAAAAGCCCAGTTCCTACTACTCCTTTCCATAAATGCCTCAGAGTCTATCAGCCATTCTCAAAATGGTACCACAAATGTTCCATTAGAACATCTCCAGTAGCTGCAGCTGCACAGGCACAATACACGGCTGACTATTTTATTTTTCAATTTTAATTTTTTATTAGTACATCTTTGCAGTACACAATGATTATGCCCATCATGGGCTGGCCATCTATTTTCAATTTTATCTTACTGAAAATAAGACTCTCTGTGGTTCAGCCCATCCTTGGCTGGGGCAGCAGTGTCCTGTCCTTATCCTGGAGAATCTGTGACAGCTACTAGGTCAGACAGTTGAGGACAGACACACCAGCTCTATGCAAGCATTTGGGTCAAGAGCCTGAACAGGGAGCCACCTGACAAAACTCTGTTTTAGAAAATCAGATCTGAATATAAGAATCAGGAAGACAGAAAAAAGGACCAGCCTGGAATCAGGGAAAGCCTTGGAGACAGCTGCACCTAACTCATCCTCATGGAGTTGTCAGGTACCTTTTTTGCCCTACAAGGCTTTTCCTGACCCACAGGTCTCCTTAGTGCTGAGCTGTCAGGGCAGCTCCTCTTCCAAGGACAGGACACCTTCTACAGTTGTATCAGGCCACACTCTGGGACTAGTTTCTGTCCCTGAGCTCCCAGCCTGCCTTCTAGGGCATGACGCATGCGAGGAAATCTCCCCAAGTGGCCACCTCTCTAGTAGCCCCTTTGCTTTGTTCTTTCCCCGTAGTCCCTATGACTTCTTGAGTTAGACCTGTGACATGGTGTCATCAGCTCTCCTCCACACCCCATCAGTTGTTCCCTCTGTTCTGTCACCTTCTTGTCCTGATGAGCAATGTTCAGCTCTTTCTGCTCACTGACTCTGTCCCTTGCTGTTGAGGATTGTATTTTGCACCCTATGCCTGTTTTGTGATTGGGACCAAATGTTACAATGGGGGCTTTTCGATTCCATTTTGGGAAAAGCTGGAGAAGTAAGCAAATTGTCTCTATGGGCCTCAGGCAGAGGGTCCCAAAGTTGAAATCTATTAGCAATCCTGGATGCAAGGAGATGAGGAGGTACTGTGAAAGATGATACAGAAAGTTAGGTACCCAAAGGGGGCACAGGCTGGGGCTGGACTCATGTCAGGTGACTGATGCATGATAGCTCCAAAAGTCTGTACTGTCTGAGACCCGGGCTGGTCATAAAAATGAGAGCAGGGGCTTAGTGTATAGACACAGATCCAAAAGCCCTAGCAATTGACTTAGCTACCGACTGCAGAGTTAGGCAGAGACCTCAGAGGGAGGGCCTTGTGCACAACAGTGTGTGTTCTATGCAGAATACAGCAGTGTAACTCACATAGAGCAAGTTATTTTTATATATCAGACTGTTAAAGGGACAAAGATTGTGACTTACAATCTAAAGATTCCTTCTCTACAGGTGCTTTCTTATTCTAAAATTGTCCTGTACTACTTGTGTCCCTTTTTCAGCCACCTGAATTGCTGAGGGCCTTTTTTGCTAGGGGCTGGGGATAATATGGGCCACCTTTGAAGGCAGCAGTCAACAAAGGACTCACATGAAAGGACAACTTTCGGCCCAGAGTAGTGGTGCACACCTGTGACTCCAGCACTCCAGGAAGCCAAGAAGAGAAAATCACAAGTTTGAGCCCAGTCTGGTAACTTAGTGAGATCCTACCTCAAAATAAAAATTATTTTTTTTTAAAGGAAGCTTAGGATGTAGCTCAGGGCAAAGTCCCAGGGTCCAGCACAGAAAAAAAAGGGGGGGGGGAATTTTCTTTCTGCAGCCCATCTAGGTAGACACCTCAGCTTTGGTACACCTAAATTTTCACTTAGTTCTATTCCTTCCTTCCCAGGAGGCCTTACCTATGCTCTTGTTACTAAATAACCTTTTGCCCTATCTTCTTACCACCGTCTCTTTCCTTGTTTTTATTACTTTTCCAGGGGGTGAGGGAACCTGCACTGCTTGGAACAGGTTGAGCAGGAAGGCCTGTCATCCCTGGGCTGGGTCTGAGAGGGGGTCTCTCCCTTGCAGAAGACACCCAATAATGTCTGTTTTGTTGCTGAGGCTCTCCCCAATGCACTAGGGGAGCTCAAGCATTTTCTCCCATTGAGGTAATCCATTCATCATGGGGCTCAAAACCTCACATTTCCCCCGTTGATGACACAAGTCATTAAAAAAGCAGGAAGTTGGCCATGCTACAAGAAACTTACAGCGATTTCATGTTCTTTAGACTTATCTCATCATGAACTCTGAGTCCAAAATTGCTTCCACTCTTCCTGGCTTTGTGTTTCACCTACCTGTTTAATTTTCCTTCGAGTCTGACTTAGCTGGTCGTGTCACGCATTCATACAGAAAACATTCTCCCTGAAATGGGCTTAGAGGGCCTGAAAGAGAGTAGAATACAGTCTCCTCTCCCTGCTGTCCCCCTTCCTCCGCCCCTTTCTACCCTCTACCCGTCATCACCATTTGTACAGTCTTCTGTAACAGGCAGGCTATTTCAGAAACTACTACTTTT